TTCACTGAGGAAGGAATGCAGCTAGGAAGTATTTACCGATAATTAGCCACTTTCCCTTCAATTTAAAACATCAGAACGTGGAAACGCAGGTTAAATCTCCCTGGAAAAAAAAAAAAAATTGAGCTGCTTAGATTATGTTGTGTTTTATGAAAGAGGAGTCACTTATTATTTCTGTTGTGCTGAGTTTGTACTTAACACATAGATGCAGGGTTCTGGGGGGTAGTTAGTGAAATCCTGCTCTTACTGTCTCTGCCTATAATCTCTAATTACAAGGATTTTTTGTTGAATTTGTGTATGTAAGGGCCCATTGTGTAAGAACCTGTGTTTTTTATACATTAAGTCATGTCTACTTTATTGTTATCACTGTAGCTTTTGCACAACACTGCCAAAAATGTATAATTTGCTTTAAAGACGGGGTATTATACAGAATCGACTTGACTACACTGATTGTGTTGTGATGGTGCTCTGAAGGGGCAGTGCGTAGCGTGGAAAGCAAAGTTAGAGGGGACTCAAGTATCAAAAGCGAAACTCAAAGTACTTAAAGTGAAACCGAGAAATTACGCAGACCCTAACCCTATGAACATTTAGACTAGAATATAGAAAAAAAAACTCAAATGCTTGTTTCTATGGATATGTCATTGCTACCTGAAATGTTCCACAGTATGACATTAAATAGCTCTACTGTATATTTATTAAATTACAGGTGGTTTTACAGCTCAAAAATATCTAAAAAACAGGCATTCTGACTGTGAGCGGTGTTGCCTCTCCACAAATCTGATGTGTAACTTGGTCTAGTTTGGTCTCCGTGAGAATAGAAAGGTTTAATACCATGCTGTGAAACATTCCAGACAAAGCAATAACATTTCCATGGAGAAAAGCATTCGACGGACAGTGCGCCAGAAAAGTTACACAATGCACCTTTAACCTATGACAAATTAAGCACATAATTTTAATAATTTGCCTTCTACAGGGACTTTTCAAGCAGAAGATGGGAGCCCAGAGCTGTGGAGCAAAGCCGCTGGACACACAGACAGAACGATCACTCTGCACCTGTCTCTCCACCTGCTCCTGGCCCCCTCCGCACCAGGGCCATGTCCGAAAACGACCTGCGCTTCGAGGCCCCCCACCACCGCTGGTCCCCCTCTCTCTCCGTTGCCAGCACTCAGACTCTGAGCGAACTGGACGAAGGAGTTAACCAGAACCTGAGAGAAAAAGCTGCAAAGAAGAAGGCCCCTCCTCCTCCCAGACCCCCGCCTCCCAAATGGGAACAGTTTCATAAAAGGAGAGCCTCGCATCACGCCATCTACTCCTCTCCTCAAACAGTGACAGGTAAGAGACAGTAGTTCAGTTCATAGAGGGTTTGTCCACTGATCTGAAGATTGGTGGTTCAACAAGCTCCCACAGATGTATATTGTTGTTGTGTGATAGGGCAAAAAACTTAACCCCCTCACCCCCAGTGTCTGTGTACAATAATATACGAATGGGTGAGTGCATTGAAGGTGGAAAAGTGCTGTATAAAAATGTGACCATTTACCATTCAAGAGAAAAAAAATGCATTATTCATTAGGGATACAACAACGGAAGAATGGAGATATCGTGATATCTCAGTGTTTCCGCTGCATTCATTTGTGTGTGTAATTGTAATTTAGAAAGATTATAAGATTAATCACTGAAATATGACATTTTAATTGGGCCTAGATAATGATTGAGTAATTATCCATCACAAGCTTACGTCACCCATGCTCTCACAATTCTCCATAAATATACAAAAACATGATACAAAACAAACAAACCTGATGTGGTGATTGTGTTTTGATAGTGCTCTGAAGGGTGGTGTGCCTAAATGCGCAGAGCAAATATAAGGGAGACTCATCAAAAACAAACTTAAGGTGTTAATAAGTTGTTGTCAGTGAATATAGCATTTTCAAAACACTAAAACCTAAAACATGATGATCTAAATTTGTTGTATTAGCAGTTAATACCCCATAGAAGTAAAATAAACTCTCCCGTAATTCTCTTCTATCTCAAAAGTTCTTGACTAATAACGTTCTTATATTTATTGTTCTACAGGAGCCTTCAGCAGCCAGTCTTCATTTGAACCAGAAACATCCAGACAGCGCTCCTATAGTCTGCCCCCTCGGAGAGAAGAACTCAGCTCCGCCACTACCACATGTTCAAAGTGCTCTTGTCACCAAAATCTACCCCAAGATCAAAATTTACCTCAAAGTTCAAGAAACAACCACCAATATCTATCCCAAGATCAAAATTTAGCCCTGAATTCAAGAAACAACCACCCAAATCTACCCCAGGACCAGCCAGTGCCTCAAAGTTTGCACCAAAATTTGACCGGCAACCATCAACGATTTCACCAGACTCAAGATATTCAGCGCTATAGCCAAGTCCCTCCCACTCAAGTTCAAAATTCTGTCTCCGCCAATCAGATTCAATCCTCTCATGAATTGTCCAATCATAGCCGGCCTTACCATCACATCCCAACCAATCAAATTCAAGCTCCTCGTGTGTTGCCGAGTTACAGACAGCTTCAGGAAGTCTCGCCAGCCAATCAGATTCAACCGTTGTCGGATTCCTCCAGTGAAATCCAACCATCTCATGTACAACATCTATCAGCCTATAAACAGCCCACCTACGTCCCACCGGCCAATCAGCTGCCTCCACTTCAGCTCTCGTCCAATCAGCTGCAAGAACCTCTCTTCAACATAGCGCCCCCTAGCCCCATGTTCTCGCGACGCGGCTTTAGGCCAGTTGCGCCGCCTCAGTGGAACAACAGGGGAAGTGCCAGTGACGAGATAGAAGAGTTTCCACCTCCTCCTCCACCTGTCGCGGATGACTTGGAAGACAGGTGTGTCAGATGCCCTTCCGTCCTCTTCTATCCCTGTGTCGGATGCCCTCCCTTCTTCCTGTATCCCTGTGTGTCAGCTAATATTTATGTAACTTATTAATAGAACACTTATTCCAATAATTCTGTCTATTATTTGTACTCGTGAAAGTTGTTTTTAAGTGTGTTTTTATTTTCTAGCAACAATAATTTGAATTTAATCATAATGTTTTTGGGGTTTTTTCAGTTTTTCCGACTCAGAGACCAACCTAAACCATGAGCAAATGACCACAACCCAACCATTGCACAGGCACGCAGCTGAATGGGAAAGAACTACATCTCCCAGGATTCACAGCGAGACCCCTCCTTCCCCTCCTCCCCCTCCTCCTCCTCCACCTCCTCCTGTTTTTCAGAATGGAAATCCAGAAACTCCTGTGTCTTTTAGCGTACAACAAAACCACAATTTGAAATCCGAATGTGAAACTTTTAACAATGTAAACGGCATGATCGAAGCAAAAAACATCGAAATCGAATCAGAGACGACTTTAAGTCCAGCTCAAAGTTTAGAGGCCGATTTGGAAGCGTTGCCATTGGAGACGGACATCGACGATTTCCAGGAGGAGGCACTTCCTGTGGTGAACGAGCCAATCGACAGCGAGCTCCCATGCTTGGCTCTCCCAGTGACGGTGCTGGAGACAGACTTGGACACTTTACCCGAGCACGAGGCCTCTCCTTTGGGTACAGCTCGGCCGGACAGCAGCCTCCTGGAAGAAGAGCTGGAGGTTCGGGAGGAGGGGAGCCTTGAGGAGATCTTCCCCCAGAGTAGTGAGGGTGAATCAGGCACGGAAAGCTGGAGAGAGGCCTCCCAAAGCACGGAGCACAACACCGACAGTCTGGACAGGTGAGGGATAGAGTTAACTCTTACCTTTTACCTTTAGTTCAGTAGAGATTGGCAATTCCAGGGCTGAAATTATCCAAATGATTCTAGTGAAGGTGTATGGAGTTTAAAAACTAAATATGCAAGATTTGTTTTTGTTTCATTGTGTGTGAATGAAACAAAACCCAACTCCACGTATATTTTTGATGAGGAAAAAACATCAGAAAATAGCGTGATATGAGCCTTTTAACAGCTCAACCTCCAAAAATTTAAAATAAATAATAATAACTAAAATCATGTTAAAAAATATTAAACTAATTCTCATGAAATATTCCCACGAGGCTGAATGTTCACCTTTAAGGGCCTTAGCTGACAAAAGGTTATAACTGTGTATGTGTGTTTTATCAGTCCTGGTTAGCTTTAGCATGTCTGTTTAGCCTCTGCCTGATCTGTATCCGTGCTGTGTTTTTGCTTGTTTAAACCCAGACCTTTAGCTTTAGCCTTTTGGTGTTTCTCACTGAACGATAACGACTGATTAATGTTTGAGTCATGGGTCTGTGTGGCCTCTCTGTTCTGCCCTGAGGTCAGACAAAAGCAAACAAGAAAATGATTCATGGTTTAGAAGAACTTTTAAAGGTTTTTACTAGTTTAGGTACATTTATAATTAATTACTAATCAAATATTATGATGATGAAATAAAGCCACAGTTTGCAACATGTGTTTTTTGTTTTGTTTATTGCACTGATAAACTTGTGTCCTTGAGTGGGCTTGCATCTCCACAAACCTGACTCTTGTTTGGCTTGGAGGGTGTACTCCATCTTATTTCCATGGAGATGTTGTTCCTATGACTACAATATGCGACACTACGGCTTAAAACTTATCCATATCCATAATGTTATCATATCATACCATAATGTTAATGCTACAATATCCATATAATGTTATGAAGTATAGTTTTAACTTTCCATGGAATTGTATAGGTGACGTGCTGTGCCTGCTTGTTTCCATGGAAACTGATTACTTTATTGTAATACTGTATTTTTTTGTTGTTTTCATATGCTCCGGTGATAATAATATTAATAGTATTAATAATATATTTTCTGTTGTTCCAGTGATATTTTTATTAATAATATAAATATTTTCTTTTGTTGGTAGGCGCTCTGGTACGAGCTCGAGCTGCTCATCTTATTACAGCACGTCCACAGCCAAAGCTCAGCTTCTGTCACAGATGAAGGACTTCACCGAGGAGAGAGAGAACCAGGACGAACTCATGTACAAGGTAAAACTCCAGCATACAACTAGTACACACCAAAGCAGAAACAGCCCGGCATATACGCAGGAATCACTTTTATTATTAGACAGTTTACACCAGTAATGTTATACACTCGTGTAATTACACTACGCAGCACTCAAATTGGATTGAAGTTACAGTTTTTCAGTGTCATCACACCGTCTTCATGATTTAGCAGGGGAAAGACAGGAAATAAGCATATGGTGTCAAAATAAAGTTCAGATGCAATTTCAAAGTCTCTAAAAACACTACAGTCGGGTAAACACCGAGCGTTGCATCCAGGAGCTTGGAGAATGACTGGGGATGAACTACGAAATACTTTATGATGTTGGAAAGAAACTTTATTTTTTACTTTCCTGTATGAAGGAAAATGTGTACTGTGAATAAAGCACTGTTTGTTCAGATGCAGACAGTACACAGTGGACTTATTTTGACCTCAAGAGATGCTTATAAAATATATCTGCACTGGGACAAGATGCATTTTGTCCAAATACATGGATGTACAAGTTTTAATCACGTTCTTGTTTGTGTTTCACAGAAGCAGCTGATGGAGAGTCTGAGGAAGAAGTTGGGAGTTTTGAGAGAGGCTCAGAGAGGACTTCAGGAGGACATCAGAGCCAATGCACAACTAGGAGAAGAGGTAAGACACAGGGAGTACAGCAAACGCCATGTAACTAGGGGGTATGAGGTTGAAATAAGGTGAAAACACATCATGACAGATCAAGTGTGGGGAATGCTGTTAGGCAGTTGATTTCCCATGATTCTTATCAACAATGTGTTTGAGGTACAGGTAGCCCTGTTAGTTACTTCTCTTTTAGTTATTATCGTGGACAAATGGACATAGCTCACCCACTAGCTGCTGTGTTGCACATAGGAGGTGAACATGGGCATGTTTCCAGCTCCATCATCTTCCGCTTTGTGTTAAGAAACTGTCACCCCTTTCCCTGTAATTGCTGCTCTGAGCCTCATCATTTTGGTCTTAAAATTTTCATATTTACCCGGGGTTTTATTTTGCCAATTTGTCCGTTAATCAATTGCTATTCCTAATATGGAACTGGCTCCAAATTCGCCCCTATAACCACTCATGAGCTTCATTTGACTGGAGCCGAATGCTATGGGTGACGTCACACTCACTCACTTAGTCCACTTCTTTATAGTCTATGGTTATTACATGTGAAAATGCTATGTAAAAATGAATGCATTATATTTTACAGCGTCAAATTATTTCTTATTTAGCAGCTTTTACCATAATTCATTCAAGAGCATTTGTCATTATAATAGTGAATTAAAATCAGTTATAGACCCGAATATAATGTAACAAATGTAATAAATGCCTTTGTGTGTCCAGGTGGAGGCAATGGTGGTGTCAGTGTGTAAACCCAATGAGGTGGATAAGTTCAGGATGTTCATCGGAGACTTGGACAAAGTGGTCAGTCTGATGCTGTCTCTGTCTGGACGCCTGCTCAGAGTGGAGACAACTCTGGACACGCTGGACTCCCAGAGTGACCACGAGGAGAGGGTGAGAATCCTCTGCATCTCTCAGAATCCTCTGAAGAGGGTCACTCTTCTCTGCAGTTTCTGCTCTGTCTGACCCTTCTCTGCTCCTCTGACCTTCTTCTCTGCTCCTCTGCTCCACCTGACCTTCTTCTCTGTGTCTCTGGTGAATAGCTCCCCCTACAGGAGAAGAAACGTCAGCTCATGCGTCAGTTGTCAGAGGCTCAGGACTTAAAGGAGCATGTGGATCGCAGAGAGCAGGCTGTGAGCCGAGTCCTAGGGCGCTGTCTGAGCCCGGAGCAGCACAGAGACTACAGGTGAGCCAAGATATGAATGAATATCAGATTTAAGGAACTGTATTCACTCTTACTGTTTAAACAAAGTTCTATAATCACAACTGAGCCTGTGTTCCCAGAGCCTTAACCTACAGATAGAGGACACATCCAAGTTTGTCTCATTCTGATTATATGGATAGATTGTGGCTCATGTGAAAGCTCAAAACCTCCAGAATTTTCTCACTGAACTGTAGAGGTTGCACTAGCACTGATTCATGGTTGGCTGTAGGTGCTGTTATTTAGGGAGTGACCATTCAGATCAGAGAGAGACATTTTAGGTTTAAACACACTGGATTTCATTACTGAAACTGGCAACCCAAATGAGAGACTCATGTGAGACTCATTTCTGATTGGATAATCGTTCTCACCCAAAACGATTTGACGAAATGAATGGGCCATCATGTCCAATGTTTTTTATTATTAAGAATGAATCAGCAGTACATTTGTTATCAGTAAAAGCTGTATTGGATTTGGGGAGGTAACATGTTTAAAATTTACATACAGTTCTTTCACAGCAGAGGTTTTCTATAATTATATCTCATTCAATCCATGTTATAAAGTTAATAATCAGAAAATGGAGTAATATGGGCTCTTTAATTTAATTATAGTCTAGATCGAGATTCATGTCTTCAGGTCTTTTTATTGAAGAGGTCTACAGCCAATCCTGGGAGAAAAAAAAGGACTTTTTTGTGTTAAATAAAATAATAATGAACACTAAATAAAAGCTAAATAATGTTACTCTGTGTGTTCTGTCCACAGTCACTTTGTGAAGATGAAGGCAGCTCTCCTGGTGGAGCAGAGGCAGCTGGAGGATAAGATCCGTTTGGGAGAGGAGCAGCTCCGAGGGCTCAGGGAGAGTCTGGGTCTGGGGATGGGGGCGGGGTTTGGGTTAGCGATGGGCTACGGGCAGTACTGACGCCTGCAGCCAGGGGGCGACTCCTACACCGCACTGAGAGATAGAACCAGGGCAAAATAACACAGTGGTTCACCAGCTTTTCACACAAAAGATTTGACTTTTCTTTTACCATCACATCTAAACCAGGTCTATAACCGGACTATTCCAAGTCTAATGTAGGACAAAACCAGGTCTAAAAGTGGACTACGTCATTTCTGCTGTCCAAGTACCACAGAGCTTGCTTACCACAGTTTGAGAAACATTAAACTGATGTATTTGACTAAGATGTCTGCAATAAATGAATAAAGAAGGTCCAAACATAATATCTCATCTCACATTAAACAAAAACTGGCACAAAGTTTGTCTTGTATGCCACCTAAACTCCGCCCACAACCACATTTCAAACACAGCTGCTAACCCGGGAAGTACCTGGAGGACTAAAGAAGAGAAAGAGAGGAGAAGGAGCAGGGTCTGGAGGTATAACAAACTGTGTGATTGGTTGGAACAGGTATCCACATTTTAAACTCCGCCCCCTGCAGAAAAATGGACAGAATGATCTGGAAATAAGAGTGAACTTTTCTACTGAGGAGGAGCTGACGACACGAAGAATGACATTTTTACACTGATGGGAACTTCAGAAGGACTTTTACTCAGACTTGACATCTTAGTGGCCAAAACAACTTATTTTTGATCGTATTTAAAGTGTATAGTCAAAATGACTCTGAATATTCACTGATCTTTAAAGCCACAATATGTAACTTTTTCATTTTGTTGACACAAACGCAGGACCAGGAATAGAACAGAACATCAAAACTAAACCAGGACTATACCAATATGTAACTTTTTTGCCAAAAAAATACATTAAAATGTTTTTTTAATTTTTGTGTGTATTGCACTGACAAATTTCTTGTACCCTTATTCTGAGTGGGCTTGCATCTCCACAAACCTGACTCTTATTATCTGGGGAAGGGCCACTTCCTGCTGTTTTCCATGGAATTTCAGTTTCTTTGCCTGTAGTCTTCCACAGTAAGACAAAAAAGGTATCTATCTCTATGGAGAATGTTCTGGAGTATGACTCGTTTTCCATGGAATTATGCAGGTGACTCACAACTGCCGGGAAATTACATACTGTGGCTTTAATATTTGAAGTTTTACATATAAAACGATGACTAGTTCAATGATGCCCAGTGCTGAGAATTTTTTTCCTGCGAAACTCTAAATATGTCTTAAAACCTTTATCACTGTAGCTGATTCTTGTATTCACCACATTTACATTGCCAAAGACACTACTCGCTTTGTTGTTGTTTTTTTAATCGCTGCTTAAATATTTTGGTGCTTCATTTTCAGTTTTTACATTTTTTTGAAGTTGTATTAACCGATATTTTTGCTTTATTTGTATTTTATGAATGTTGCGGGACGACAAGCCTGCCTCTGTTTCCACATTTGACTCAAACATTATTTTCTGATTGTTTTTAAACGTTACTGTAACTGCTCGAGTGGAGTTTGACACTTCACACTTTTGTACAAACTTGTGTTGTATTTTTGAATTGTACATCCCTTTGTGTATATTTGAAAAGACTAGATTTGAATGTAAAAATATGACAAAAAGTACCAGAATGATTGCATTTATTGTATATTTTGACAAGGACCTAATGTTGATCTGAAATTTGCTGAAAACTGTTAAAAATTTTTCCAAATAAGTTCAGATTTGCAAAAAGTTTTGGGATCTTATACGTTCCCAATTGGTTAAATTTTCTCTCTAAAAATTACAGATATGTTTTATATTTTTGGTATTATTTGGTTGTACATTTATTTGTAGAGAATTGACCATTGCAAAATTATGTAGACCAAATAAATATTGTCAGTTGACCTAAAGCTGCACTATGTAACTTTTCTGGTGGAGATATTGCTCAAAAACATCAAAAACCTCCCTGAAGTTCTGTTTCATTCACACGTGTTTAACACACAAACCCTGCATATTTAAACTGAGATCTTATCTTCGCAAACAGACAACGCATCACACTGTTTCACCTTGTGATGTGATGTGGTAAAACAGAGCATGCTCCACTGTGTTTTTAAATTCCATAACCCTTCAGTATACAATCATTAAGATGATTTCAGCCCTGGAATTGCCAGTTTCTACTGAACCAAAGGTAAAAGGAGCTGTTAACTTAAAAACTACCACTTCATGACATCACAAGGGTGAACGGGCTGATAATAGATGATACTTAAACATGTAAATGAACCAAAACACAACTCCCAAGTTTTTGATGAGGTGACATTATAACATGGATTAAGCTCAGAAAAATCCATTTTGTGTAATTTAGGACCTTTAAATATTGTTGGACCTGGCCCTTTTTGCATTTTAAAGAAGAATTTTAAAGAAAAAAATGTTTAAATTCCAGTTCTTGTAATTTTATCAAAATACTAAAGACTCGTCCATATCTTGTTGTTTAATTTGTACATATTTTTATTGAATTTTCACCAAACTGGCAGAACTGAAGTTGCTCGAAAGTGAAATTGTTAAGTAAGTTTGATGTTGTTTTGTAAAATGACTTCCTTTTTTATAACTGCAAAAAATGTGTACAGAGAAAAAAAAAAACATAAATGATAATAATAGTATTTTAAACAAGCCTGAAGTGTCTTGTGGTGATTTTTTTTTGGTTTTGGAGCACGGTGCGTTTGAATTGAATAAATGACGACTGGAAAGAAAAATTAAGTTAAAATGGTTTTCTGCAGGAAGGGGGTTATGGATTTTGTTTACATTTCACTTCACATTTTGTTACACACACACACACACACACACACACACATCAAAACTGAGGCTAGACCAGGACTAAATTATGAATGAACCCAAGAGCTAAACTAGGATTAAACCAGGACTTGTCCAGGATTAGACTAAGACAAAACCAAGGCTAGACAAGGACTAAACCAGAAATTAACCAAGACTGGACCAAAACCGAACCAAGTCTACATCAGGACTAAACCAAGACCTAAACCAGGACTAGACCAGGAATAAACTAGGACTAAACCAGGACTAGACCAAGACTAAACCTAAGTCAGGACTAGAATAGGACCAAACCAAGTCTAAGTCACAACATAACTAGGACTAAACCATGACTAGATCAGGATTAAACCAAAAAAAGTCCAATTTCATTCATAAAACCTCTGTGTAACGTTCTGTGATTTTCTGTGAATTTCACTTGACTCGATTCGTTTGGGTCATGGTTTGAGTAAAAGAGTGCATACATGTGGTGTCAGGAGAGACAGAGCACAGGGAGGACAAGATGATGATGTAGAGGGAGAGAGAAAGAGGGAGGAGAGGAAGAGGAGAGGGGATTTGAGCAAGAAAAAGAGAATAAAGAGAGGGAATGAGGGAGACAGAGACACAGGGAGGAGTGAACAAGAAAGAGGAGAAAATGAGGAGAGATGAAACTGGGAGGACAGGCAGATGAAGAGAATGGGAAAAGAAAGAGGAGAGATGGAACGCAGGGAGGACAGGCAGATAAAGAGGAGAGGGGATAAAAATGTGTTTTCTTCAAGTCAAATGAAGATACAGCAAACAAGAAGGAGAAAGAGAAAGGGAGAGAAAGATTGAAAGAGAGAAGAGGAAGGGGGAAAGAGGGAAGAGAGAGTGTTAGGTTTATCTAGACATTCAAAACAAGAAGAAAGACAAGAGATTAATTAAGTTTTTCTCATGAGGAGAACGGGCAGAGAGTGGCATCAAGAGCAACAGTCTCCACACGTTCTGATGACTCAAGGCCGCTCTCCTCCTTTTATTTCATTAGGAGGCCCTAGTTACAGACACATGATTCTCAAAGGGAAGGGGGATAAGCAAAGACATAATGCAGGTTCAAAACACATAAACATGATTAACAATCAGGAGGTGCCGTAGGTATAGACAGACACCATCATAACTCTTGCATGTGTGACAGTGGGGGTTGGTTTCACGTGAGGAATCATCTCAAGGTTCACAAGAACGATAGGTCACTGCACACAGATGTTAAACACAGAGAGGTTATTCACATTCATACAAATGATTGGTACATTCTAAATCAAAGAATTGTAGTACATAAATGGTTAACTCATAGGTCTAGATTAACACACAAGCATTTAGCAAATATGGGATAATAGAATTATTCTGACAGAGAGAAATAGGAGGAGGGAGAGGGAGCGAGAGGAAGAGAGAGAGTTAGTGGAAGGGTTGGAAAGAAAACTGATGTGGAGGGAAAGTCCCATAATGAATCAAAGCTGCTCAAAGAGGACTAACCTGCAGTCCCAAATATGTCCAGCAGATGAAGGTGTTGGGTTGGTAATGCAACGCGCTTATTCATTTAAAACAGTATTTTTCTATTTATTTTCAGCCACCGCCATAGACTGTATAAAGGTTAAATAAAAAGGACACTCTGTAATCACGACACACTTTTTTGGTTGGAAAAATTCCGCGGCATTCATTGATAAAAAATAATACCAAATCACCCCTTAAAAAAACAAAAACGTAGCATAGTGTAGCGAATGTTTTCCATGCAACTATGTCTGGTTATTTAAACTTAGCAATGGTGACTGCTTTGCTTTTTTAGAAACTGAAATTGCAAAATGATCCAAAATGGTAAATTATAAAATCCATAAAACAAAGAATGTGTGGGTCTGTTTACTCATGTGGTGTTTTTTTCCCCTCAAGGCCCATGTGGCAGTTCCTTAACGCAAACTATTGTTCCGAACACACAAAAAAACACTGCATCTTTGTTTCAAAAGCATATTTCGTAAACAAAGCAATTTCCACGTGCTGCACAATAGAGATAAAAATACTATGGAAATATAAAATAAAGTTTTGTTTATCTCTGCTAGTCCTCATTAAGGCAATAAAAAGTAAACTCAAATAAGAGTTACAAAAAGTTAAAACCATAAAAACAAAACAAACAAACAAAAAGACACAGAAGACCACACAAGACACAAGGACCACTTAAGATGAGAGATGGTTGTTGTTGTTGTTGTTGTTTTTGTCATTTTTGGGGTTTAAGAGGGGCCTTTTTCCTATGGTTTGTCTGATTTAAGACCTAGTTCAGCCCTAAATTTGTCCACTCCGGTTCCTTAAAATATACTTCATTCCTGTTTTCTGCAATAAATTTTTTTATCATAAAAAAAAAACCCCGAAAAAAAAACCCCTCAAATCCATTCATGGAGTCATGAATCAGATAATGCCGTAACTTAGACGGTCAGTCTTTTGGTGACACATATTCTGTAGTTATTGGGGTTACTATGATCCCAGACCAGACACGTCGAACTGCTCCACTGACCTAGATTAGGACCAGATGAGAGACGAGAGCTCGAAAATCGACTACATTTCCTGACAAACAGACGGTAATGTCAAATAACAGCAATTAGCTCTATAAAACCGGATGTTCAATTAACGAACAATATAAAACAAGTTTTATTCAAAAGTATAACTGAGCCTATTTACGTTTTATAACACTTTGCTTACTTATACACCTTTGGCTTATCAATATTTTTGGCGGTAAGATGCAAATAATGTGTGAAATACCAAAAATTGTTAATATATTTTTATTTTTTGTCCAAACCGGAAGTTGTTAGCTTTACCGTAATGCTAACTTGATGTTTACACTTTTACTCATCAAAAAACAGCAAAGCACGGCCAAATTAGCAACAATTTTACATCGTATTGGATTTAATCAGACTTTTCCGTGTGTTCCGAGATGTTTAAAACGGTTAACAATGTTTTAAAAGTGGTATTTTATTGTTCGTAGCATGACGCAGGATTTGTCTGTGTTGACATAAGCAGCCTTCGTTAAAACGCGACTAAATCCGAGTCACAAGACGTTTTCCGACTGAAGAGGACGTCTATTTATCCCGTTTCCTCGTCTCGTGGGTAAACCAAGCATTAAACCTTTTTAACTGAAAACCTATCGTAAATAATGTGTTTTTCGGTCTTGTGAACTTGTTTGCTACGTGATTACAATGCAACTACTGGCTAATTACGTTAATGCGCAAACTTGGGTTGGCTCGCTCAGTTGTATCATCGTTTTCCTCCGTGTGTAGCCGTAAATAGGAAAAGAAGACGATTACAAAATGAGCGGAAACAGTCGTAAAAACTTCCTTGTAATGTCAGACAAGCTGTCATTTACGCGAGATGGCGATTTGGTCTCTAGCTTCCTAAGAAATTTTGTGAAATACTCAAGCTATGTTCCGAAAATTACGCGCGGCGCAAGGAGGTAGCGTTTTACAGGGAGGACCGTGCATTTACGACCCGATTAATGATTGATTTTTATGTTGTTTTGTCATTCGTAGGCGCCGCTGGAGGGATGGAGACGGACTTTGAGAGGCTTCACCCGAGCAGTTGTGAGGAAGACGATGATGACGAGATGGTGGATATAGCCGGGGCCACGCTCGACTTTTCATCCACGGACGATGTGCCTCCTCTGGGCGCAGGTAAGGGGCTCACACCGCTGTCTGTCTGGAGCTTTGGTTTGCAGTGACAGTGCAGAAATTTGAATAATGTTTATTTAAAGTATTGCCACCAGTAAAATACATGTTGTTAAGTACAAGTAACTACTATGAACTTTCATGTGTCTCATAGTAATAAAAATCTGTAGTTTATAATTTAATACCATCGTTTATTGTTTGAATAAGTATAATAAAAATCTAGTTAAGGCACTCCTAAGACTTAGTGATAAGACTCAATAAAACTTGTCTGTATTTTGAAGTTTTTTACTGTCCTACTTCTGTGGGGCAGGATGGTGGCACAGTGATTAGCACTATTGCCTCACAGCAAGAAGGTCCTGGGTTTGACTTAAGGGCAGCATAGGGCCTTTTGTGTGGAGTTTGCATGTTCTGCCTATGCCTGTGTAGGTTTCCTTTGGATACTTTGGTTTCCCCTATCATGACAACACTGCTGCTGCTTCTACTACTATTGCCACTTCTGTTACTACTGCTGCTATTACAGCTACTACTACTATCAGCATGTCAATTTACTAAATATAGTCTACTACCTCTTAAGAGTAGTTTGGGTCTTTTCTATAAGCATAAGCGTTTTATGGTGGCATAAGCAATCTATATTTGAATAATATTATTTAGTAAAGTTTTTAGACTAAAAATGCACAAATAAATAATTTATAGTTATTTCTGTATGGTTTTGACAATACTAGAAGCATAAAGTATAATTTGTATCACCATTTTTAGACTATGAGAAACACTGAGCCTTCTTGTTGCTGCTTATTGCAATGTCTTTATCCAATACAATTTGAATTACAAGTGAGTTAGAGGAGTATGGAATTGTAATTTTGGTTCATGGTGACTCTTTGGTGCTTTTTTTTTAGCATAAATCTTTAAAACTTTTTAGTTTGAAATGTCTGGACTTTTGGCTTTTTTATATGCAAATTAATTTAAACCTCTAAGAATGGATGACTTATAGCATTTAAAAAGTATTAGTATTTTTGTGAGTAACTACTGTCTCTTGTTTGTACGAACCAGTTAAAGAGAGTAGATTTGAACTTTGTGTTTTCAGTAACAGCTTTGGTCACATGGTTTGACTTAGTCAGGGTCAGATGTGTAATCACTTATCTCTGCTTTAAGTTACTCATTGACACCATTTTATTTTGACTAATAATTTTATTTAGATTCTAAGAATCTATATAAGACAAAAGCATAAAAGGAGAAGTTAGTGAGTGAGTTATCTTAGGATTTTGTGTTTATGGTATTCATATGTAAAAAGATTAAAGGTCCTATATTACACAAAATGCATTCCTGTGAGATTTAAGACAGGTTATAATACTGTTACCTCATCAACAACATACCCAGAGTTGTGTTTTGCTTCATTCACACAAGTCTGATTAATCCTGGTTAAATTAGTCCGCCTATATCTCCAAAGCTCAAAATGCTCTGTTACCCTTTGTGATGTAAATTTAACAGCTATCTTTATAGCTTTAGATAGTGGAAATGAGCAATTCTAGGCCTGAAATTATCCAAATGATTCCAGTGAAGGTGTATGGAGTTTAAAAACACAGTGCAACACTCCCTGCAATACCAAACAACATCATAATGTGGAACAGGGTGTTTTCAATTTGAGAGAAGAACTCAGCAGGATTTATGTGTGTTAAAAATAAATGAATGAATAAAACAAAACACAACTCCAGGTATGTTTTTGATGAGGAAAAAACAATATAAAATCGATCAGAAAACAGCATCATGTGGGTCCTTTAACCTCATCATTCATAAGTTTAATCTCTCTTTATATAAATACATTGTTTCCTGGTACTGTTTTTGCAAAAATAATTTGGGTTTGGGTCAGATACATACAGATATATAATAGTTTTCGACCAAGATTTTTTGTCAACTACAGCCCTAGATAACAGCTCAGCTCAAGCGAGTCTTTCAGCACACAGAGGCAGCTCTGTATAATTTTTTTGTGTTGTCTGCCTGGTAACAAGTGACATCACTGTACTTCTGTTTCCTAATAATAACATTAGTTAATTGTTGTTCATTGACCCAGGAGCTGGCCGGTGCTCACTGCTGTTGTGCCTTTGAGCAAGACACTACATAATGCCACCACACATCATTTATTTACAATATTGTGGGAGGAGTATTGCTTCTTTACCTTTTTTTAAATGTGTATATAGCATGCAACAGCTTTCATTTCGCAATCACACTGTTTGTCAGAAATATTTGTTAGATATTTTGCCCAAATTCAGACTTTTCAGTCACAATTTTCATTTGATGTGACTTTATCTTTGGAAAGTAAATATGGCTTATTATTATACGAGTTATGTAAACTCAAATTAGTGTAATATAACTCAAATAATTAAGGATGTCACAACAACAAAATTTGAGATGTCTTTCTCCAGAGAGATATTCTGTGAGAGTGTGTGAATATTGAAACTACTTTATCCAACTGACTCAGTAACAATAAAGCAGGATAATCCCAGTAAACCTTTTGTGAACGTATTATTAAGAGGCTGGAGCTGCAACAAATATATAACAGAATGCACCTATAATTTGCCATAAAAGTCAATTATTCAACTTTCTGCAGCTCAGATCTATTATTATTACAACAAAAACAAAATAACATACCCCAAATCTCACCATTTTTGCAAAGAAATTATACACGTGATCAATACTGAACCCCAAAATATATAGTTCCAGCTTTCATATATGGAACCATAAGTTAGTATAGTAATTATGGGCCTACAAATAGTCAAATTTCTTTCACCAATGTCTTGTCTGCTCCAAACTAAATGTTTTTACTGACAGAAGATTGGCTATAGACCTCTCCATTAAAAAGACCCAAGCTGATCATTGACCATAAGAAATGATTGAGCCTCGATTAAAATGTAATTATTTGCCCTGCCCTCAGCACTTTTAGTTGTAGTTTGACTTCTGTTTCCTTGGGCTGTGTTAAATTTGTCTGTTGACTCTGGGCTGAGTCACTGCTGAACTTGTTGCTGAGAAACTGGTTTGTTTGAGATACTTCAGTGTTGGAATAACATCCAAGTTTAAACAAACATAAAAGACTTGAATTTTAGAAATGTGAGTATTAAATTTAGGGATGCAGTAATTCATCTTTTCCAGTTCTGATACTGATTTTGATACTATAGCTTTAATCAGCAATACCAGTGCAGAGACTGAAAATAGAATTTACTTAATTTTTTCAATTTTAAAATTGATCCAAATGTTTTATGTAGCTATTATTTATCCCTCATGTAACTACAGAACAACTTTGTATTCATAAAAATTCAAACATTTTGAGATTTTTTGGGCTGATCACAGCTAGTTAATTTTCTTATTACATCAGAATGTCCAGCCAGGATATCAGCTGAACCGATAATTGGAAGCCAATATCCAATCCAGATTTTTTCATTATTGCCATTGATATCATATACCAATATCAGATCCCTAATGAAATTTCTACCATAATATTGTAATTCCCCCTCAACAAAGGTTCAGACTGTATAAACCTGACTCATGCAAAGTCATGCCTTGTCTTACGAGCCTGACTTACAAAATGACTCAGTCATTTACGGGACTAACTCTTGGTAATGATAACTCAGTATTACCGAGGCAGAGGTTCAAGAAGTATCTCATAAAAGTATTGATACTTTGCAGCTGGTGTCATCAACACTCCCTGGGGTGTGATGCTAACTGGAAGCACTGCTGTGTCTGAAGCTTTTTTACTTAAGTTAGACTTTAATCTGAGCTTAATTATCATCATCATCATTATTATTATTATTATTATTATTATTATTATTATTATTATTATTATTATTATAACACAATCTGACCAGAAAGAGCTGATTTGGGTAGAGCGATAACAGGTGAGCTGATTTGTGCTGTTAAACAAGTCTCTCAAACATAAAATTACAGTCACAAGCTAGCTAGCATTAGCCAACAGTTTTTCAGTGAGTCACTCTCACCTTTTTGTTGAAAATCCAACCCGTAAATTCATGAATGCTCGGACTGAGCACAGGCTCCTTTCTTTGTGTTTTCAAACCTAAAACTTTTTTGTCTGTGTTTGCTAATACAATGTCACCATAGTAACTACTGAACATTCTGCCAATAAAGATACATGTAGAACACCCCAGCATGATGCCACCGCAAAAATAATTGTTGTAAAATTAAACGCAAATGTGCAGATATATCTTCACTTTTAATTCTTCCACCATGAAAACTTGACTTGACCAAACTGTCCTTCGTGAGAATATTGACATTTCATGCACATTTTGTTCAGAGCAAGAAAGACGATTTCACCATTTTACTGCAATATCTTTTGCTCCATTCTGTTAACAGTATCTGATTTGCTACATTTTTGACAACCCTATTTATAATTTTAATTTTCTGGAGTATAAATACCTTCTTGTCTCCATGGAGATGTTATTGCTTTGCTTAGAATGTTTCACAGTATGGCATTAAACGCATCTAATATCTCACTTTTGTTCAAAATACCTCTTGAAAACATGCTTTCTTACTGTCAGTGGAGTCGCCACTTTACAGATCTGACATTTAAGTTAACTGTAGAGTCACCTACTTGTTGCCATGGAGATAGATAGGTTTAATGGTGTACCGTGAAACAAGCAATGCAAAGCAAGGCAATTCTTTCTTGGTTCATGTTTTGTGATTCAAAAGAAAACCACAGGAAACAGAACTGGCACCAATTAGTTTGAGAGTCCGAATGGAATCATGAGTTCAGTTTGTGGGGGAAGAAAAGTACAAAAATACAGGAAGTAGCACTTTCATTTATTTTTTAAGTTAAATCTTTACTATTGTGTAGTTTAGCAGTATGGTTGCTATCTAACAGTTATAGAATTACCTCTACGTATGTCACATCTGCTGCACGTGTTCAGCCAGGAAATGAAAGTTCACCAAAAAAAAGAGGGGGGGAAAAAAAGGCCAGTTTTGAGTTAAATCTTCAATATAATTATGTTAACTATGTTTTAATT